TGATACATTTTGGATTAAATATGGGATAAGCAATTGGATGATTTTATCTTCAAATTTGCAGTTCGATCAATTTCGATACGTTTGATAAAGCTTTAAGATAATTAAAGGTATACAAAAGTATGCATTGTAACATTCGAAAAGCTAAGTATACAAAAACTTTTAACTTTTTTTTGTAAAATCCTTAATTTAAGCACTAAAAAACCCAAAATAAAATAAAATCGATTATTTCGATAACTTTCAAGTGTTGTGAATCCCCGAGGCCGAAGCTAATTGCCTCTTTTTTTTTTATTGATCACCTTCGAGTACTGGCTTTAATTGGGTTAATTATATTGGCTGTGATACGGTTATCAAATGGATTTTCTTTTAGCCAATTCCAGGAACGATCCATGGGCCATGGTGTTGGGACAAGTTAGTAGATCCGCTATCGATTTCCTCTTGCTGGGTGGCCTGGGGAGTGGAAAAGTGCATCAGGTTGGCAAATATTTAACAAATTGTTCATCTAACTGAGTCACGGTCAACTTACACGAGTTACCGAGGTGTTGGCACTGTCTGTGGCTAAATATTTTTTCCTGAACTGAGCCCGGTCTCGGAGCCACAAAAATCAGCAAACAAACGAGCACACGATAATTGGCGTTCATTATCAATGGGCAAATACAAGTACAAGTCAATCCAAAAACCCTTTAAGTGATCGTCTTTATACAGGGGGTAGGGCCAGACAGTAAAGGGGGGGTCTCTGTTGGAAAAATAAAAAAAATTAGGAGGGAGGGGCTGGCAGACACGACGACGACCACTACGACCACGACGACTCTAAGCGGAAATCCAAAAACGCAACTTCAACACAGAGTTGGCTTTTTGGGCATGGAACTTCCCGTATGGCATGGAACCTTTTGATTGCCCCTCTGCAATTATGACCAGGTACTTGTCTCAGTGCCCCCTCTCCCCCCTCCCTTGTTGTTTTTTTTTAAACATGCATGTGTGTGCCGTGCTTTTGTAATGACTTTTTAATGGTCGGTGTGTGTACTTTGCCACCAAAATTGGCCAGGCCAAGTAGTCGTCGGGCTAATCAATATTAAACACGACAGAGTGAGTGAGAAGGTACTCTATTCCTCCTATCCCCTCCCCTCTCACCTCTCTGGGTCTTAAGCATTATGACCATATCTTATCGTTGGCCAGACCTTCAACTTACAACACATCTGAGAGCCCAAGTGAGTTGAAACCGGAAGCATTAGAAGCCGGCCGCCGACAACTCAAAAAGCCCAGACTTTTGAAACAAAGCACGAAAAATCCAGTGTGAAAAAATACAGTTTCTTTTGTGTAAGTCCGTCGAAGGTCAAAACCTAAAGGGCCTAAATCCCCCCCTTCGCAATAGGCCAAGAAACACAGCCACGCCCTGATCTCTCTGATTACAATACCAGGAAGGGCCATAAATCAGTTACATTCCGGGGGCTCTCTCAGATGCTACCCGCCAGGCACACAAAAATAAACATTAAAACAAAACGTATAATTTTTAGACAAAAAATTTGAAGAAAAAAACGCCAACAGCAATTAAAATTATAAGACTATAGATTGCAAAGTTTATTAGTTAAAAAAAAAACAATAAATAAAGGTTTAATTAAGGTTTCCTAATCCTAAAAGTACGGGGTTTTAATATTTGAGGAAGCCCTACTTTTCTAACCTTTGTGTTTTTATTTAAATTTGAAGAATAATAAAATAAAGTTTGAGTTACTATATTTTTTAAGGGCTTTATACTATTGTCTAATAATTCATTTTTGTCTTAAAAGTTTAGGGTTTTCAAAAATAATCAAACTGGGCATAAAATAAAGAAATAAATCAAATGCTGGAGTAAAGTTTGATTTAATAACTTTTTTTGTTAGAAAATATATGTATTTTAGTTACTTTAATAAATTTTAAATCTATTTTAGTTTTATTTCATTTATTTTAATATAAAAACTCTTAAATAAAATGATGGAAATATTCTTTCTCTTAGCACTGGTTTCAAAATGTTTCAAAATTCAAATAAACTTAGTCCTTAACCCTTCCCGTCTTAAATCACCTGAAAACCTTCACAATCCCTAGAATTACCCAAAAACAACCTCTAAACCCTGCTAATTTAAAGATTAATAACCCATCTAATTTGCATTTTGATCCTAATGCCATAAATCTTCGTTTAAACGCAATACCTATAATTATATTTAATTTAGTCTTAATTATTTGAATTAAAAGGTTTTCCGTTGATTAAAACCCCAAGGTCAGGATAAGACTACCGTTTTTTTTTTGGCAGTTTCCTTAATTTGCCTGGCGCCTGGCTAGGAAAATAAAAAATAAATAAGTGCATTTCCAATTGGACTTTGGCCGCTGGCTAATTAAGCGATTATTTTCGGTTTGTTGGGGTTTCTGGTTCGAAATTCGAATGGTTCGGCCACTCAAGTGTGATTTATGTGTCGGACGTTAGTCCCACGCAATGAACCGATTTCGATTCGATTCCGCTTTATAGTATATATATGTGTATGTTACTATATAGTAGATAGTGTGGTGTAGTATATAGTGCACAGAGGTCAAATTCTAAATTCTAATTGACAAAGAGCCGGCGCACAGTGGGTCAAAACGAGCTGGCCCGCCTGGCACACTGCCATATTATTTGATTCATTCAGCTTCTAGCTTGTGGCCTCCATCCCCCCCCCATAGATTAATGAAATTAGACAATCAACATCAAGTCTCTCAAGTGGTTGGAATACGAAAGACAAAAGCCCAACAACTTGGCGGCGAAGAAAAACAAAAAAAAGAAAAAAAGCGAAATTAAAATCACTTAATTAAATAATTTTTAATGTGTCTCCACCTCGTTGGCTGCCGAAAAAAACAAAAAAAAATTGAAATTGAAATATATACAGTTTTTACTACTATTGTAGAGCAGCTGTCGTTGGTTAATTGCCCTCCGAGTCGGCATAGTCATTAAGAATCATACAAATTGCCTTCTATATATAGATATATATATGTATATACTGTCCAGATCACACAGAATGCATCCCAGTCAAGGTCATCATCAATTTTTTCCCATTTCGTATCGCCCATTCCCATCCGATGTTCGATCTTACGAGTGGCAATTGAATATTACCCCCTAATGAGATCCATAAAGCACACTTTTGTATTACAAATCTCCCTCCCTCCCTGTTTCCTAATATTTCCTCCCTAGATTTCTCCCCCCTCGAGGCAATTACTGCAAATTAACATTTGGTCGAATGGGATTTAAAAAAAAGCTCTAAACGAGTTGCAATTTCAAGTTCATTTTTAGCAAAAAATTATCTTTTTTTTAATTTGGAAATTTTGATTTAAATACAAGGTGTGTTTAATTTATTCAGAACTTTGGATTTTTGTAGACTCGTTAGACAGGATTTTAAGACTTTCGAGTTGATTATTGAAAGGTAATACATAATTTTATAGGTTTTTATTGATGAGGTGTTTTTTTAATCAGATTTTATAACTAAGAAATAATAGATTTATGGGTTTTGAGGGGGTATTACCATAAATTACTTGGAAAAAAGACATTCTACAAGTGCAAGCCATAAAAATACTTGCATTTTTTAAGTTTTGTTAGGGTTTTGAAAGAAGAGTACTTAAAGAAGACAATTTTAAGAGAAATACTACTATTTCTAGAAGTATGGGGTATCATTAGGCCCCTTTTTCAAGCTCAAAAGCTTTGTTAAGTAAGTAAAAATTAATTATTTCTATTTCTACAAGTACCTGGTATCATTATTGCCTTTATTGCTTTAATTCCCTCCTGGCCCTGCTTCGAGTTACGCAATCAGAGGCACTACCTGAATATCAATGAGTCAGTGTGGAAAGCTTCATGTCTAAATTATCCTTTATCACTTCATTCGGCTGGGACCGCGAGGACTCAATTAATCGTGCTTTCAACAGCATGCTTTCAATGCGGTTTCTGGCCCACACTCCTTTTTGGCCAAATCAACAGCCAAACAGGCAAACAGCAGAAACGGCAGCAACAAAATTGCTGTTAATTGCACCTAATTGGGGCCTTTGCACATTTCAATGCGAATTAAACGCGAAAATTCGCACAAAATAACAAAAACCAAGACCCAAAACCGAAACCGAAACCGTTGCCAGGTATCCACGCCAAATACCCCAATCCTCCTCCTCCATTCAGTTCCCTGGGTTTTATTTTGAAAAAAATTTAATGACATTAAAAAGAATGCAAACAGAAAATGCAATACAATCGATGCAAATGAAGTAGCGGTTACGGAGGCGATTTCCAAAATCCCAAAAACCGAACCAAAAAATACACAAAGTTCCAGTGGACGAAGCGCAGAGAATTCTCCTGCAGCCTAAGTAAACACAGAAATCCCCCAAAACGATACCCTCTTTCAAGATTTAAGCCAAATTAATGGACCTGCTTTTGCTACCTCCTACTTAAGTGGGTGTATTGGTTTTTGAATCAAAACATGCTATTTGTACTTTCACCAAGCCATGAAAAGGCACATATGTGCATATATATTTATTCAAATGAGTATCTTTTAAGCTGATAAACCCATCACAATTGTCTCTTTTTTTATTTTTTTTTTTATTTATATTCTGTGTTTGCCTAAAAATTGGCGCTACCTACGCCTGTTTTGTTTTTAGCGTCGTTTTCTTCTTTTTGTATTCGCAATGATTCATAAAAGTCCCCAATGGTAGATATATATATATATATAATATATAGACATCCCATATATCCCCGCAGCTATGTGACTCCAGCGGCGAGTGGGGGTCGTTCGCCCAATCAATAACCATCAATCGTCTTTACGAACAGTAAACACACATAATAGATGGCCGTAAGCCGCAATTATTGATGGCAAGGGGGGAGGGGGGGAACCTCACACGGTTTTTGGCTTTAACTTTTTTGTCGGTTTTGTCGGTTTTTGGTTTCAAATCCAAAATTCATGCCATGCACATTGTGTTTGTACATTAGACGCTAATCAATGCTAACAGTTTCCTCTTTTTATTTTCAGCTCAGCTCTGCTCGGCTCGGCTCGGATCGGCGATTTGTGCATTTTTTTAATGGTAAGTCCAAGTGCGATAGCTCTACCAAAGCCGGTTTTAATTTTTGATCAATTTTTTAAAAGTTATAACCAAGAATTCACGAATCTTTACAGAGGTAACGTGGAAAAAGTAATTTGCTTTTGGTTATAACTTTTCTTTAAGTACTGGGTATCTTATAGCCTCCAAAAATGATTGTTTTGAAGAGTAAATAGAATTTTTTTGAATATATGTCCCATATAAGTTCTATTTATTAACATATTTTATTATATTTTACAAAGATTATCCTGAAAAAGCCAGTTCCATTCACTTAGGAATATTACTACAAGTACCGGGTGTCATATAGTCTCAAACAATGATCCTTCCTTTCGACTTTAAACGGCTTTGCTTATATTGTTGTGCTTTTCACAACAAAAACAATTCAAAACTGTAAAAAAATCACATTCAAATATATACATATCCTCTATACATTATATTTAACTCCATCATTTTTCATTTCATATTCTACAAGTACCGGGTATCCTATAGTCTCTGTTCTTTTCTTATTAGTCTGTCTGTTGACTTTAATGGCTTGTGATTATTTTTTTTGGCTTCTAATATGTAATATCTCTCTAGATCAGATCCAACTACGTATCCCATATAAATTCTATTTAATTTCATAATTTTTCTATCCAACCCCCCACCCAACAACTCTTCCAGTTCCGTTTCAATTTGCTTTTTTTTGTTTATGCCAACTGCAATCGTCCCATTTTTGTCCGTTCGCGGAGTAAACAATCCATTAAATGGCACTGCTATATATAGTACCGCTAAGGCGATCCAAAATTGGGGAGGGAAACACAGAACACAGACACACACACAAATACAGCTTCCTGGCTAAAAAAGACTAAAATATTACCCATACGCACTGTGGCACACGCATACCACCCGAACCAGACGGGGCAAGCTACACGCAAAGAACACACAAAGAAACGGATAGCCAAGTCAAGCGAAATCAATCAAAAGACAGCAAATTTTCAGCACGCAATCAATTCATAACCCATATAACCCCAACCCCAGTCATTCCCGGGGGTATGCTGGTCCAAATTACAAGAATGTGCGTCACAAGGTGCGGGGCCAAGGCAAGTAATTTGTGTTGTGTGTGTAGTGTGTGTGTGTGTTTGGTTGCATCTGGCGGGGTTTGAGGTCCTCGAGACAATTGGGCGCCACTTGGTTCGTTTGTCCTGTGCTTGCTTTTATGTTTAATACACTTTCAGAGAGTATATTAGTTGGTTTATAAATAAATTGAGGAAATAATATGTATATTTAATAAGAAAGTAACTAGAACTTCCTTTCAGTTTCTAAAATATAGACTCTAGGTTTCTTATAGAGACTTCTTTATATGAAAGATCTTAAATAATACAAAGTCTGAGTATTATCCCATAGCTTTTTATTAAAAATAACCCTGTCCGTGTGTCCGTGTGTCCACCCATTCCATTCCCTAAAAATAATCATAGTTTTGGCATCTCAAGTAGTACAACCTTCAAACTTTTTTTCACCAACTAAGGGTATAAAAACTTCTCCTTGGCCTCGAGTTTGGCCCTTAATTCTTGTTTTATTTTTTGTGTTTTTCGTTTTTTTTGTAGTTGTACTTTTATTCGCGTGCGTGGCTGGCGAATCAATCAAAGAAGCCAAGACAAGAATCTGCCACATTTACAGTCGAGTTACGCGCAATTTAACCTGTCTGGCTCCCCACTTGCCACCTTCCTGCCACATGCCACTTCTCTGTCCACTCTCATTCCCCTATCCAATTTCTTGTCTATCCTTCGCATTTTCTGCTCACTCAATTATCATAATTGCGCCGTAAGAGGGTGGAGGCCGAAATGATAATGTCGGCGCCAGCATTTCCGCTCTTATTAACGACTTTTTTGCGTCCTGCGCCCAGGACTCAGCTCAACCGTCTCCCATTCTCTTGTTTCGACACTCAATGCTCCTTGTTTTTGGCCAGTTGCTTTTGGACCATGGCTAGAAACACACCCACGGACCCATGGACATGTGGCCATGTTTTTGCGGCTTTGTGGCTGCCTGACACGCACAATTAGGTTCAACTTAGTCCAAGATACATACAAGGATACAAACTACATGGCTCGATTTTTCGTCTCAAAATCAAATCAAATAAAATCACAATTTACTACGCTCACGCACGCATCCCCTTCTTCTATTCTATTCTATTTTATTTATTAGAAAAAAAAAAAAAAAACCAGAAGCAAAAAATAGAACAAAATAAAGCGCTGTCGTGGCGCTTTTTTTGTAGTTTTTTTTTTTTGAACATTTCCACATTTTGCCTCGCTTCCGTTGCGCCTTAATGCACTTGACCTTCGGAGCGATGATTTGGCTGCCAGATCGGTATCCAAATTCAAATCTGACTACAAAATACGAATACATTTTGCGTATTACGAGTGTGCTTAAATCCAAATCTGATTCCGAAACACCCGTTGCAACTCAAGCGAGACAACATTTGGTTGCAATATGTTGCTGGTATTCTACAATTTCGATGAGTATTTGAAATAGAAGCTAGTTTTAAAATAGATTTTTTTAGGTTAAAAGGTCTTAACTTTAAAATAATTGTTTGTAGAAAAATTTAAAAATAAACAAATTAATCAAACAAAACCTAGTTAGTTTTGAAATTGCCCTTTATATAGGTTTTCTTTGTAAAATCTTAGAAAATTAAAAAAAAAATATTAAATATATCCTCAAGCCTGTTTCGAACCCTTCACCTAATCATTGTCAATGTTTTGTTTTTTGATGGCCTTTCAATATCCTTTTCTGTTTATCTTGTCCTCAACTCGGATATAATTTCCACTTCCCTTCCATTCTGGTGGCTGTTCCTTCCTTCCGCTTGTGAGAACCACTGGCTTGACAAAGGACACGCAGTGTCCTTACTATTGTTGCCCTGCCATTGTAAAGTTTGAGTGTAAATTCCATTAGGATTATATTACGGCTCTTACAAACTTTACTTCCACGCATACACACACATGAAGCCAGAGAGACCGTAGCCCGAAACCGAAGGAAGCCGCAAAAGTTTCGTTTGGCCCATAAAGTAGGAGAATTCGCTTTTATTATCCTTGGCATATCCTTGATGAAGGAGACAGATAGTTGGATAGTTGAGGCGACAGAGGGAGACCGAGAGTGTGAGTTGGCAACGAGGAAAGTTCAAATGGATTAGGGCCAGTATTCTTATTTTTTTCTGATGAAGCCCCCCGCAAGGCGTTGCCTCTAAAATATATATATGTATATATATATATACTCACACATGTGAAATGTGCGTGCCAAGCAAATGGCAGGATATGTGTCAAGGACACGCCACATGTCCTCTTGATATGCCACTTTGTGCTTTTTTTTTCGACTCCCGCTGCTTTGTAGTAGGTGCAATGGGCGTGGCTCTTTTGGGCTGGGCCATAATACATTTGGGACACATTCGCCGTCCACTAATTGATGTTGCCTCCTCCACTTTATCGCCCTGCCATCCATGCCACTGCCATCCAGCTCTCTAATCCCATTTTTTCGCCGCTTTTTTCGGCACTCCCTGGCGCATAAATTTTCAAATTCCTAAAAATTGGACATTTGCTTTTGGGATAAAATATCACTCTGACAAATTAAATAATAGACAATTATGTGGATTATTTTTAAAGATTTTCATAAGATATATTGGATGAATCGGATAATAATTTAATAAGATATAGCCATCACTGTGGGCCCTATACGGAAAAACACCATTTTTAGGGGACCCATCACGAAAAATGGACAAAAAATCTAAAAAATATTTTTTCTCAGGATTTTGATGCAGAATGATGGAGAATCGATCCACAAATCGTTTAAGGTACACAGATTGAGAATCGGATAGAAATTGGGGAAGATATAGCCATCACTGTGGACCCTATAGGGGAAAACACCATTTTCAAGGGGACCCATCACGAAAAATGGACAAAAAATCTAAAAAATATTTTTTCTCAGGATTTTGATGCAGAATGATGAAGAATCGATCCACAAATCGTTTAAGGTACTCCGCTTGAGAATCGGATGGGAATTGGGGAAGATATAGCCATCACTGTGGACCCTATAGGGGAAAACACCATTTTCAAGGGGTCCATCAGGAAAAATGGACAAAAAATCTAAAAAATATTTTGTCTCCGGATTTTGATGCAGAATGATGGAGAATCGATCCACAAATCGTTTAAGGTACTCCGCTTGAGAATCGGATGGGAATTGGGGAAGATATAGCCATCACTGTGGACCCTATAGGGGAAAACACCATTTTCAGGGGACCCATCACGAAAAATGGACAAAAAATCTAAAAAATATTTTGTCTCGGGATTTTGATGCAGAATGATGGAGAATCGATCCACAAATCGTTTAAGGTACACAGATTGAGAATCGGATAGAAATTGGGGAAGATATAGCCATCCCCGTGGGCCCTATACGGAAAAACACCATTTTTAGGGGACCCATCACGAAAAATGGACAAAAAATCTAAAAAATATTTTGTCTCGGGATTTTGATGCAGAATGATGGAGAATCGATCCACAAATCGTTTAAGGTACTCCGCTTGAGAATCGGATGGGAATTGGGGAAGATATAGCCATCACTGTGGGCCCTATAGGGGAAAACCCCATTTTCAAGGGGTCCATCACGAAAAATGGACAAAAAATCTAAAAAATATTTTGTCTCGGGATTTTGATGCAGAATGATGGAGAATCGATCCACAAATCGTTTAAGGTACTCCGCTTAAGAATCGGATGAGAATTGGGGAAGATATAGCCATCACTGTGGACCCTATGGGACTTATACAGAAATCCAGCATTTTAAAGGGAGTCCCTCAAAAAAATTAGGAAAAAATCTAAAAAATATTTCGTTTCAGGATTTTGATGTATATATAGATGTCTAAGATATTCTTCTCTGTGATCCAATAGGAATTGGCTGAAATATAGCTATGGATATGACCCATAAACGAAAATCCAGTATTTTGAGAGGACCCCCCCGGATGGAAA